TTATTCTAGTGTTTTCTGCCATAATTGGCAATAATTGATGAATGATAAAATAATTCCTAAGATGATAAAATGGAAAATGTTTGAAGATATAAGAAAATTAAGATCACTAAGATCATATCATGTATCATAAATTTATAAATAGTGGGCCTGCCTGGTGGCGTCCTGCTACAGTGCGCAGCTTGGGAAGCGCGGTGGCGCTCCCGCCGAGGGTTCGGATCCCACATACAGACCGGTTCCCGCTCACTGGCTGAGCGAGGTGCGGACGCAGCACCGAGGGTTGCGATCCCGTTGCCGGTCCCGGTCCCGGTCCGGTATGGGCGCGACACTGAGCGTTGCAATCCGTTGCCGGACACGAAAAAAGACAAAATAAATAAATAAATAAATTTATAAATAGTTCCAGTGGTCCTATATGGTAACTCCAAGATAGAAAGAGTTTTATTCTACTTTAGTTAAAAAGTAAATGTTCCATTTGATCTTTGGGAGACTTCTAAAAATAAACAAAAGTCGCAAAATATCAATCTTTATAAATAGAACTGCTCAGAGAAAGAAAAAAAACTTAAAATCTAAAGTTTGAAGGCCCAAAGTTGTGTCCAGTGGACCCTGAAGGCATACTAACAGTTAAATCACATCAACAGATTTGGTCATTTTCGGAAGACTTTCAAAATCTGGTTCACTGGAAAACTATCCCACAAAAGACTCTTCCTTTACCCACTTGAAATCCAGCAGTTCTCAGACCAAAGTTGAAAGCCAGCCAGGGAGGGCTCCGTAGTATTCCAACACCATAATGCTCACCTCTGGGCTCAACCAGCATTCTCCATGGAAGCCAGGCAGCCCCTTGCCTGGGATATTTTCTCCTGGAGTTTGTCTCAGCACACAATGAGGAAGCAAAAATTATGACCCAAAGAAAACAGAGAGGGCTTCGAGGATGCTATTCAGGCTTCAGAGCAGGGTAGTGACAAAACTCAGACCACAGTCAGACGCCCGATGTTTACTGCTTTATGTTCTTTCCAGTAAGTGTATTTATTGTGAGGAATACAGTGTTCCTTTTCTCTTGGGTTTTTTAAAAACTCTTTTTATCTTTTGTATTTCCAGCCAATCCATGAACAGTTTGACTATTGATTTATGACACAGAGGAAGTGCCCAATTCACAAAAGTGTTGTGTTCAAACACTTTGAGAGTTGGTTGTTTTGGGAACTCAGAATATATTTTCCAGCAATAAACAATACTATAAATGATAGTTAGGCTTCCCAGGGCAGACCCACAAAAAGCCTTCTTACCTCAAAATATTGTTATATTTGTATGGTGAAAATTAATAGAAAGCAATTTTGTTGTGGTACTAAATAAATAATGCAAATATTGAAGACATAATCTCCTTTATCCAGAATTCTTTTTAATGAAACAACCAGTTTAATGAAAGAAGGTGAGAAGAAAAATGGAGACTTCTTAAGAAGAGACCTCTGCTTGCAAGAAGTTTGGAGGCCCAACAACAGCAGTCTGTTATTTTGTCTGTCCAGCTTCACTCTCATACCTTTTTCCATTTCCATCATATAAGCATGATGCGCAGGAGCCATGATCAGGGTAGATTTAGGGCTCACAAAGGAAGATAGCAAAGGATGAAGGTGGAAGAGGAAAAATAAAAAGTTTGAAAGAGATTTCTTTGATGGGGCATTAAAGCACGTCATTGTGAGAAGATTGCCTAAGTTAGCATTAACTGATTTGCTAACGAAAAGACAAGGAAATTGGGAAGGCAGGAGATCCAATTATTCGCACCCCAGGCCCTTGAGGCAGAGATGAAGAAAGAGTCAAGACTATTCCTTCTCTGACCATAAGGTGGTGCCATCGGACTAGACAGTCTGCCCCGAGGGGGCGGAGCGTGCAGTGGGCGGAGCTCCCCAACAGCAAGCCTGGTTCTCCGCTCAGGCTCTGCAACTCACAGAAAGCCTGGACCAGACAGCATGTATCAACCTCCATGTCATTGCCTCAGTACCCCAAAACTGCTCCCGTCCTCTAAGGCTCCACCTGCTCATGCCTGAGCAAGAACACCTCTGTCCTGCCGGGCATCGCAACGCACATGAAGATTCCAACTCATTCCAACACTTTTCTCTCATCTTTCTTCACAGTGTCAGCACCGGGCGCCTGAGTTGTTCCGAATTCCTGAAGAGAATCTGGTCTAAGCGCATCCTACAGTCTCATCCTTAAATACCATCAGGATGGGAGAACAAGATCTTCCATGATAAGCACAGATTTGTCCCAATGGTCCCAGCCTTGACAACGTGCCCCAGCCAACCTCCCTAGCTTGATCTCCCGCTTTTTATTTATTTATTTTTGTCAGCTGGCCAGTACAGGGATCGAACCCTGGACCTTGGTGTTATCGGCTCCACACTCAAACCAACTGATCGATCTCCCACTTTAACACCCATCTGGGCAACCCCTATTCCTGATACAAATCCCACCGTATGCCCTCTGTACATTTACCACTGCTGGTCCTCCCACCTGTGACAACTGCTCTCTTTTCTTTGTCTCTACTTGTCAGTATCCTTCCCCATCTTTCAAGATCTAACCCAAATACTCCCCTCCCCCAAACCTGCCCACTAAGTGTTGACCGGATGAACTGATAAAGTGGATTTAGAGGAGGATATGTGGGCTCCACACATCAACCACAGAAGGTCCTGGATGTCACAAGGCGGGCTATATCTGCCTCTCCACAGCTACATGGGCCTTAAACTGAGAAGGAGGGCCCATCCAGCCAGGCTATCTTCCAAACCTCAAGATAGCACCTGCTGGTCTGTCCTTGCACCGGATGAACTGATAAAGTGGATTTAGAGGAGGATATGTGGGCCCCACACATCAACCACAGAAGGTCCTGGATGTCACAAGGCGGGCTATATCTGCCTCTCCACAGCTACATGGGCCTTAAACTGAGAAGTAGGGCCCATCCAGCCAGGCTATCTTCCAAACCTCAAGATAGCACCTGCTGGTCTGTCCTTGCTCCTCCCAAGTCTCAATTCCCATTAGGGCAGACTCTAGGCCTGGAGGGCCACCAAAGCCACAAGCTTGGTGTGTCACGCAGTGTCTGCTCTCGATCCATGTTAAACTTATAATAGTAATAATAATTATTATTGTTACTGTCCACTCCCCACCCCCACTCTCATCAGCCACAGTCTGCCAAACCAGACCTGAGTTACAGAGCTAAAGGAATCAGCTGGGGGGGAAGGGGAGGATAACAACAAAGTCACCAGCCTGAGCCCCCATCCCCATGTCTATGACTGTCCTGAGGCCTAGACTGGTAGTCCCAGCACACTGCCTAGAGATTCTGCAGAATTTTCATAGCCATGATGGGACCACCTGAAATAGGCATTTTTGAATGGATGCTTTGGCCTTGGCTGAGTGGCCTGGAGACAAACATTCAAGAACTAGTGCCTGTGCTTACAACACCTCAAATTCTAGCTACTATGTGTTCTTTTAGTTGTAATGGACAGTTGGCTCAGATGGGAACCACAAATATCTCTTGTAAGGCTGGAGCAAATAGCCTCAAGATGAATTTCTAAATTCTGTAGGTGTTCTTGGGGCAGGCCCAGGGCCTCATAGTAGCAAAAGGCTGTGCCTCACCAAAGGCAGCAAGGAGGCAGGAGCTCAGGGGTTACCTGGCTGCTGCTCCAGGCACCGTCGGAGGCTTCTACCCAGTAGATTCAGTGTCTGCACTTGGCAAAGATGGGCTTGCTCCCATCCCCTGGTTCTCCTATTACAAAAAAAAAGTTATCTGGTCACTGCCCAGAAAGCCAGTGTCCAGATGACTTTTTTAGAGACCACATGGAAAGAAAGTCTACTCAAGCTATACCTGTAAGCAGGACTGGGACTAAACGGCCACTTGGCCCCAGGAAATTCTGGGCCTTAAGAAGTTAGTTAAGAGACGCCCCAGAATGCTAGTGTGTTGTTTGTTTTGTTTTTAAGGATCTACAGAAGGTGACTTTCATAAACTAAAAAATGAAACTAAATTCACTACGCAAACAAAAGCAGGGTGGGCGATAGGACTGCCCATTTTAATGCACTTGTACCCCTGCCTCCTTCCACAAAAGATCTAAGGCTGTGGGGAGTAATTGCTATTGGACTCTGGACATGAATGGTCAATTTCTCGCTGCTGCCGCTGCAGACTCAAACCTTCAAAGTGACCATTTATTGAGGCTCTGAAAGTCAGGCGGGGACAGTGGACTGCGGCTCTCAGGTGCTCCAGGCCCTGAAAAGTCTACTCCAAAGGCGCCCTCCCACCTCATCTTCTCCTTCCTCCAGACCCAGGACAGCTAGACGAGCCGGACATCTGCGGCCACCGGCGGTCACCATGGCCCCCCGCCTCCGCCTCCGCCTTCCCCACGCCGAGTGTAGCCGGGGGCCGGAGAAGAGAAGCTTCAGAAGCCGAGCGGCGGCCAGAGGATGACCTGCCGGCGTATCTCCGCACCCCCTCCCCCAGCCGTGTCACATGGCCGCCCCAAAGAGGCGGGCAGTGCGCCCCACCGCGGAGACCCAGGGCGCATTGCTGCGGGCAGTGGGTGATGAAACCTCCCAGGCGCATTACCGCAGAGGGCGCGGGCGGGGAGCCAGGCGGGGGTAGGGGGTTGAGAGCTGGTACCTGGGCTCACCTGTTCTCCAAGAGGAGGGTGGGGACTGCGGGGGAGGGGCAAGGGCGCGCCAACACAGGGTGCGTGCCCTGAGGCGCTTGGTAGCAGCGCTCGCGTCCCCGCCCTCCCCAGCCCTGCTAGCCCCCAGAGCTGCGCCGTCGGGTTGACAAGGCCGGGAGCAGTTCCTGTCTCCGGCCCCGGCACAGGAGAGACGTGAGCGTGCACACGTACGCACACAGCGGGGGAAGAGGCGCTCCAAGCGGCGCCCAACTTTCTCCTTGCTTCCGCCGGCCGGGAGAGAAAGCAGCCGGGGGCAATCCAACCCCGCTGTGCTTGGGGAGGAGACTCGAACAAGAAGGGAGAAGAGATGGAGAGAATGTCCCCGGATTTTGCTTTTAAGTTTTTATTTTCACCACTTCCATCTGATGACTGGAAAGTAAAGGGAACCCGGAGCGGAGCAGCGAGTAGCGCTTTGGGAAAATGGAAGTGTGTTTGGAGACGCGTAAAGTTGCCTTTCAAGCTCTGGCCTCTGGGGCACGCGATGCTCCGCGGCGGGCTGACTCAGGGCTGCCTGGGCCTCCCCGCCACTCTCCTGGAAATGGAAATGATGCAAGTCCATACAGTCACCTGGATCCCTGCAGCCCAGCCTGGAATCCGCGCCTGGATGGGGGGAGGGGCGAGAAACGACACTCCAGGGGTTGCATGGTTCACAAAAGAGCAGGGCCAAAAAAAAAAAAAAGCAGTAGGATGGGGTAGTTGCTCAGACCAAATACTTTATCTAATGCTTCTGCTCCAATCTTCTTCCCCCTCCCCCCGCCAGTGCAAAGCATCACAACGCTATGTATGCTCAGTTTGCCCACAGCATCACTGTGCCCAGGAAACTGCTCCCATCTATCAAGGCATCGGAGCTGGGAATCTCACGTAGTACTGAATGGTGGAAAGGGGAAACTTTCCCAGCCCGATGCTGATGTGATGGGAGACCGGGGAACGCTGTGCGACTGCAGACCGTCCCCGCTTGCCCTTCTTTAGCTGCAACCGGAGCAGGGCTTCGCTCTTATTTGTTGAAGTCCGTTCGGCCATTGCCCTGGAGCACTCGCACACGCGCACGCATCTCCAGCCGCGCTCACACACACTCACACACACGCACGCAAACGCGTGGCCGCCGCCAGGTCGGCAACTTTGTCGGGCGCTCCCAGCGGCGCCCGGCTTCCTCCTGTAGTAGTTGGGCGCAGGCCCCGCCTCCCGGTCGTGTTGTCAAACGGGCCGGGGTCTCCGATTGGTTCAGCCGCCGGGACAACACCTGCTCGACTCCTTCATTCAAGTGACACCAGAGCTTCCAGGGATATTTGAGGCACCATCCCTGCCACTGCCCGGCACTCGCAGCGCTGCTAACGGCCTGGTCACATGCTCTCCGGAGAGCTACGGGAGGGCGCTGGGTAACCTCTATCCGAGCCGCGGCCGCGAGGAGGAGGAAAAAGGCGAGCAAGGAGAAGAGTGGGAGGAGGAGGGGGAGCGGCGGGGAGGAAGAGAAGGGGAGCACAAAGAACCCAGACCTCCAGGCGGGAGGCTTATACCAAGAACCATGTGTGCGGAGCGGCTGGGCCAGTTTGTGACCCTGGCTTTGGTGTTGGCCACCTTCGATCCGGCACGGGGGACCGACGCCACCAGCCCTCCCGAGAGTCCCCAAGATAGAAGCTCCCAGCAGAAAGGCCGCCTGTCCCTGCAGAACACAGGTAAGCGCGTGCGCCCCCGCGGCCGGGAGCTGCTGGGAGAGCACACCGTGCACCCACGCTGCGCGCCCCGGGCGTTTCGCCCAGAGCCGGGCGCCCACCCCAGGCCACTCAAACTCTCGGGGTGGCGTGGGACCTGCAAAGGGAAGCGAGAGGCGAGGCGAAGGCGAGGTCTGCGCCGGGCTCCGAGCGCCCGGAATCTGCACGTGCTAGCAGGGTGATGAAACGGCCGGGGCAGGACTTGTTGCTGTCCTCCCCGGGGTCGAAGGGAAATGAGCCCCGAGTCCCGGGTCGGGTACAAAGCGCACTCCATTCTGGCCGACCCTCAGGAGGCACCGAGGGTCCCCGGAGCTGAGCTGCGCCCTGCACCCGGAGAACTTCTCTTCCCAGCCGGCCGGCCTCAGCAGGACCGCTTCTCTCCCTCGTCAGAAGATGCCGGACATCCCAGAACTTTGCCGGCGAGATAAATTGCATGGCGAACTTTCCTCCTGGGGGCACTGCTTTCGGAAGGGGGGTTGGGATGGCGCGAAGCGTACCTCCGAAGGGGCTGCCACCGTCCCCTGCTCCCGGCCAGGTCAGCAAGCGAAGAAGTGGTGACACGACACGAACAGTGCGCTGCCTCTGCTCGACCGGTTCTCGGCTCACCGGCAAACTGCGGAGCAGAGCCAGGCGTGCCCGGCACGGGGCTGGCTCTTTTCCCAGCTCCGGGGAGAGAAAGAAAATCCGCCTAGATCCTGCGCCCCGCGCCCCGCCCCCGCCTCTGTATTTTTGGGGGCCGAGCGAACGCGGCGGCGGCGGCGGCGTGCGTGCGCTCGCTGCACGAGCAGGAATGCACGAATGCCCATTAGGGACGCCCCGAGTGCGGGCATCGCAGCCCAGCGCTGTCCCGCCGGGGCCGCGCGTGGTGTCCTACGGGAGCCCCGCACCTCCACATGCGGAGGCCGCCCCCCCACACGCACACGCTAGGACCCTCGCCCGACCTTCCCCCTCTCCGGAGCTTTCTCTGAAACTGAACGTGATACTCGTAGCTGGTGACCCTCAACAACACACGCCCCTCACTCTCTCGCTAGATTTAATCTGAATGAGGCCCGCCCTTCTTCTAAAATATACTTTTCTGATGTAATTTTGCGGTTGGTTTAAATCAGAGTCTTGGGTTGGGGGAGGAAGGGAAGAGAGGCTTTGCACGCGGCAGCCTGACAGTTAACTAACTCCCTTCGTCTGTCCTTTCACAGAGACGAATTAGGGCCACATTCTGGGAAGCGGGGCAGCAAGATCCCGAGCCGGGGGGTCCTAGGGGATTAAGTGATATCTCACACGGGATCCCTAATTAAAAGGAGCCTCTAACTGCGATGGATGCGTTTCTGAAGGCTAGTCCCCATCTGACTTCATTCCTGAGCCTGCTCACAAACCACAGCTTCCCTTTCCTGGTATTTTTAATGCGGATGGTTTGAAGGCGCAGCCTTAATAGGAATTTTGTTTTGATTTTTAGGTGTTGAATCATAAAGCTGAATTGAAACTGCTTTTTGGACGCTGTCGTTTGGGGGTCAGGAAGGAAATGGCTGTGATTTAACAGCACCAGCTTCTACAGATCCAAGTAGAGGAGGGGGTCTCAGTACTCACTGATGAAGTACAGTCTTCATCTCAAAATCTTATGTTTGTCTATGGGTTTAAAAAGCTGAAATATTTTCCACTCCCAAACTAAGTATTCCCACAAATGCTTTAATAAAATGAAATGGATGGGGGGCAAAGAATGCACATACCTAAATTCTGGTTGTGATTTTTATAATTTTTTTAGCTAATTTTTACAGATATTTACAACTATAGATTTTTTTATGAGTAGATTAAATGATGACAATTTGTTTCCCCAGCTTCTTAGATCCTGAAATAGTCATTACTAACTTTCTCCTCCTTAAATTTACCTTTAGTCATTACTAACTTTTATTTCAACTGACCTTTCGGCATTCCCCAGCATGGCTGACAGTTTTGTACATATTTGTATGTAATTTTCATTTTAGCCGAGATCCAGCATTTGTTTCCCCAGCTTCTTAGATCCTGAAATAGTCATTACTAACTTTCTCCTCCTTAAATTTACCTTTAGTCATTACCAACTTTTATTTCAACTGACCTTTCGGCATTCTCCAGCATGGCTGACAGTTTTGTACATATTTGTATGTAATTTTCATTTTAGCCGAGATCCAGCACTGTTTGGTCAACGCTGGCGATGTGGGGTGTGGCGTGTTTGAATGTTTCGAGAACAACTCTTGTGAGATTCGGGGCTTACATGGGATTTGCATGACTTTTCTGCACAACGCTGGAAAATTTGATGCCCAGGTAAAAACTGTACAGAACATGAAGAATGTTTTGGGTTATCAGAGTGTGATTGAAATGTTGGTTGGAAAGCCTTGTTAACAGATTTCCTTAGCTGTTCTTTGTGGTGTGTTTTAGCACTTGCAAGAGACGTTCTAGGTATACAGCAAGAGGCCAGTGTCTGCCTGCACTCATGAATTGCTCTCATGTTCTCCTGAGAACTGCACTCATGTTCTGCTCCTTGAAGCTGTCATGTAGGCAAAACCTTTCTACACCCTTAAGCTGTGTCTTCACAGGCAAAGTGGACTATAGACCAATGTCATAGTAAATGTTAAACACCTTTTAAGGAGATACACAACCACCCAGAACCCAGTCCCCAAAGCATATTGCATTAGGCTGAGGGGGCAGGGACCCCCAATTATATATACCAAAAGCTATTTTCACCTAATAGGGAAGATTAAATGAGACACGACATTCATAGAAATTCATCATCCAGTGTGTGTGTGAGCAGGCAACCTGGATAATTGAGGGTCTACAAAAGAACAGATTTTATTCCTCTTAAGTAGAAGACCCTTCTCTCTCAACCTGAAAAGTCACAGCATGAATGTGTCCTGCAATTCTGCACTTTTCTATTTGCTCTATGTAATAAATATAGTCAGGGCCTGACCCACTTCAGTTATCCCAGGGTCCCAAGGGTAAAAACCAGTTGCTGCTTGGGGCAGAGAAGAAATACCACAAGCGACCTTATGGCTCCAGCGCTGACAACCCAAATACATGTTTAGATGGCATGTGACATTAGGCTCACCTTCATTTTCTCCCTGGCCCCTATATTCCCTGTTGAAACACGTTGTTATTATAGCTCATAAACGGTCCTCTATTTCATTGGCGATCGATGACAGTGTTTGGAGGGGGCCAACAGTTTAGATGTGATTTATGAACCTCACCAGTCACCATCCTCTGACATCCTTTAGAGAGCCTGACAAAGCCATGCCTGGGAACCAGAAGGGGATGCAACGGGACTGGCAGCCTAAACTGCAGAGGATGTGGGTGGCAAGAGGGGAAACAGAAACCGGGGAAGGAAAGAGGTAGAACTTTGAACTCCTTAAGGCTCCCTAAAAAGCATCCCTCCTGGATTAGCTGGAATTAGGAAACGTAATAGGAAATCCGGAGGAAAGATGTGTATTTAAGGGCAATCCCACAGGATGTCAGGGAAGGATACGAAGAACAGATTGCTGCAGCCCTCGCGTAAATTAATCTTCCTTTTTTTCTCAACCAGCAGGAATATGTTCTCAAGTTAGAGGCATCCCTTTCAAGTTGATTCTCAGCACATAACAACTTAATAAACTGGCACACCCTGCCCTCCATCCCATTTGGCTCCCACTGGAAAGCCCAAGAAGAGGGGGCTGCAGGAAGGGCGGTTGGGCCACATGGGTTTTCAGCCATCAGACACTATCTGTAGACATTTCAATTGCTTCTAAAGGGAGAACCAAAATAAATGTGCTGGCTGGCTTCCCACTTCCAACCTAACCCGTTTACTTTCTCAGTGACTTCCGGGGCTCTCTGAAAACAGAGGAGTGACCTCTCTAGCAACAGCTCGTTTCTATAGTAATGCAGGGTGCAGGGATTCCTGGGTAGGTTTCCCACAATGCCTCTTGCTACGAGAGGTTGATAAGGGAGCTAAGGCTGGAGCTGGCCTCCACAACCCCAACAGCTGTCTCCTTTCTAGGATAAGCACAGTCCCATGGGGTTGCCAGGGAAGAGAACTGTAGGCCAGATGTAGGCCTGGCTGCCTTAGCCACTCGGAGGCAGGCAGCGTGGAGGAGGGGCTGTCAGCTGGGCAGTTCAGACTCCAGATGCTGCCAGGCAGTATGCCAGGCGGGGCTTTTAGAGGCAATAATCCTAACAGCTTAAAGGAGTAGAATCTTTTTTGAAAAGGAAAAGAAGCCTCCTCCTTGAAAGATTAGAGGAGGCAAGAGTATGAACTGGGGACAGTGGGGGGCACTGAGGCAGGAAAGGCAGGCACAGTTAGCACTCGATCTTGGTGTGGCTCCTGGAATGGAAGGAAAAGGGAAGTGTGACATTTGGACAAACAGGCACCTTCTGCTTGGGGAAAGCTCTTGCTGAGAACCATGAAGGAGTTATGGATTTGCATCTGGCCCAATTCCCACTTGTGTTCCAGAAAAGTTGCCACCCAACAGCCAACCCCGGGCTGCCTCGAGGACAGACAGCCACAGAAGCCCCAGTTTCAGGGAAACGAACAGAGCAGCTGGGGAGGAAGGAGTCTGATGTGTTAGTCTAAGAACTCATATCCTTTTTGGCCAAATGCCGGAGGTGTCATGTCATTTCAGGAGGTACAGGCTGATGTACCTCCTGATGTAGCATCAGCCTGTCACCTGGGAGGACGTCAGTCTGAGGCGGGGCCTTGGGGTTCTGCTGTCAGAAAAATCCTGTATAAGCCCAAGAAGGGTAAATATCCAAGCGTGTAACAAGGACTCCTCTTTTCTGCCCCTCTGTCCCTTCTCCATGTCCTCTCTATTCTCAGGGTAAGTCATTCATCAAAGATGCCTTGAGGTGTAAGGCCCACGCTCTGCGGCACAGGTTCGGCTGCATAAGCCGGAAGTGCCCAGCCATTAAGGAAATGGTGTTCCAGTTGCAGCGGGAATGCTACCTCAAACATGATCTCTGCTCGGCCGCCCAGGAGAACACCCGGGTCATAGTGGAAATGATACATTTCAAGGACTTACTGCTGCATGAGTGAGTACTGCTTGAAAGGGACCTGGGGAGGAGGGGCCGCCCCAGCAAGGATCTGGCAATGGGAGTTGGGGAGAGTTGCATTCAGTTTGAAGGGCTTGCTTTTGGAGGCTGAACTCCTGTCAAATGGAGAAGGCTGTGGTTTACCTCCAAAAGCTACCCTGACTCCCCTAGGATTCCCGCTGGCTTTCAGGAAAAGTGAAAGAGATTTCCATCATCAGTTTCAAAATCACAAGCAACAGAAAAGGGAAATTTTTTTACTAAGCATGAAATGTGTAGATTCGGAAACACTATTCATCTTCCCCTTGGCCAAGAACCCGATAGTTCTGTGAATATTCCAAGTAGCTGTGAAGGTGTCCTTCCAAGCAGCTGACCCCTAATAACATCTGTTGAACATTTACTAAGTGCCAGGCACTGTGTTCAGCGATTTATGTGAATTTTTCACTTGATCCTTATAATAGCCATTTTTATCTCCATTTTACAGATGAGGCTCACTGAGGTGAAAGTCACACAGCTAGTGAGAGGCAAAACCAGGTTTGTGATCCAGGCAGTCTGGCTCCAGAACCTACACCCTTAAATGCCAAGACTGAGAGCAATATCTTTTTGATCCTCCTATGGGAAAGGAGAGCTTGGGGAGGCAGGGAAAAAAAATATATATATATATTGCTCTCAATTCACCTTCTCTAATACATTAATGCCCCGCCAGAGAAAAAGAGCAATATCTTTTTGATCCTCCTATGGGAAAGGAGAGCTTGGGGAGGCAGGGAAAATATATATATATATATTGCTCTCAATTCACCTTCTCTAATACATTAATGCCCCGCCAGAGAAAATGCAAAACAAGTGTCAAAACCTTCAACTAATCAGCTAAACACTTTTATGCCAAATCGAGGAAACATGAACTTACCTATTCAAAGATTTGCAATTCAGGGATAAACCCAGGATATCTCCTTCCTTAAAAAATATCCCAGCTATCGGATCCTAAATTTTGCAGAGTGGCAAAGCATGGGACACAGGGCAGAAAGAAAGCCACCAGCTAAGCAGTCATTGCCAGCTGGATGGCACATTGGTCCTTCCATAGTGACTCATTGGGCCAAATCAGTACAATTTTATGAACTTTTTCTCCTCCTCAGTTTGTGCCACATCCTTCTCCCAGCTGTGTCACTAAACAGGTTACTCCCTACCCCAGCAGCACTACTTTGATCATGGAGGGCAACAACCATCTCCTGTCACTTTTCACTTGGTTGTAAGGATCTAGGTATCTTGCAACACCCCTTGTGCAGTGTTAGAATTATAAGATTCAGGGTAAAACTACGCAGGCAGCTCTTACCAAAAGCAAAATAATGTTGCCTTTTCCTTGAGTTACACTAATGCCTTATAAAATATTTATTCTTCCAAACACATAAAGGAACAATATCAACAATAGCATCAAAAATAACAACAATAATAGCTATCATTTTTCTAAAGAACCAAGCCAGGGGCTTTACATCAATTATCTCATTTATCTTTCCCAACAATGCCACCTTATAGAGATCATACGATCTCCATTTAACAGAGGAGGAGAGTGAAGCTGTGAGGTTAAAGAACTTGCTCTGAGGTGTGATTCCTATTTTTTGACTTGGGAATTGGTGACGTAACATGACTGAAACCAGTTGTCAGCAACAGACCTCAACTTCTCTGCTCCTGATCTATCCTTTCCTCACTAGACCTGCTAAGGGCTCATTGGTCCCCAAATACGGCAGAGGGTTTTTTTGTTTTGTTTTGTTTTCCTTTTCTCAAATATATCCTCATCACACAGGGAGAGCACTGTGAAATTCCGTTCCTTCAAGGTGCCCTTGGAAGAGGCAGGTGCTTCATGACTTAGAAGCTCTTTGATGCTCACTTGCCCTCAACTCATTAGAGATAGTTTTTTGGCCTCAAGGACGGGTGATGGGGTGCTAGTTTGTAAGACTATAATACATTCCTGGAGCATAAGAAGACTGTCTTTTTTGGAGAAAACTCTTTTTGGGGAAGACTGAAAGTCTTGAAGTTTTTAACCACCCCTCTCCCACCCCCAGAATTTCAGAAAGTGGTAAAGCACTGTGGCTTTCTATTGTTTCCTCCATGGGAACATGGACCTTTGACCCAGGAGACCCTTCCTTCCAAAGGCCTCTTCACACTACATGCAATGAGCAGACAGCCCCCAGCCCTGCTTTGGAAATGCAGGTGACCCACCCTGATAATAAGCCTGGGCCTCTTTTAAGAAAACTCACTGTGGTCACATGCAGATCCTCTTGCTTCTCCCTAAGCCAGCACCCCTAAGCAGCAGGTCTCACCTAACTCCATCTCCCTGAAACCCCTCATTACTGTACTTCTGAAGCCACAACTGCATGGTGCATCTACTTGTAGTTCAAGCTGAACTGCCTGAGTTTTTGTTTTCTTTAGTTTTTGAACCATCTTACTGATTAAAGGATCCTATGAGTCCCCAAATATCAAGAAGTCCATTTCAGAATGGGTGGCATTGGTCACAAACGAGAAATCGAGAACCAAATTTGCTTTTCGCTTTAGAGAGAAGGAAATCACAGTCACCCATAGCCACACCATCTCCATTCCTCAACGCAATCCCCATCTCCCTTCAGTTAAAGGAGCTCTTTTCAGCCTCTCTGATCCCCTCTGATCCTCATCCCTTCCTGCCCATCCCACTTTCTCCATATCATTTGCCCCCCACCCCCAGAAGCAGCCAGCCTGCCTGGGCCTCTGCACACCCTGTCACTGGGTGCTGGCAGCCACTGATCATTTGGAGCCTCCAGGCACATCCCCCTCCAAGTATTTTTTAAATCCTTTAGCCCTGCTGACACCCAGCTGAGCAAGCTGGGCTTTGTCATTAGACACAGACTGAGCTTGCAGCCTGAGAAGGCACCATGCCAGCTTGAGACACAGCTTAGATTAACTTGGTTCAGCACACACGCCCCTCCCTGCAGTTCACAGCTTTCCCTGCAGGAGAGAGAGCCAAGGCCGCAGGACTAGAAGGGACTAGTCCAGCCTTCTCGGATCCAGATCCACTTTGGGGTTCTGAGAGCTCATCTGTTGAAGAAGGCCCAGGGACAGTCCATATATTCTCACGAGACCTCCCCTTACTCTGGGGAAAAAAGCTTGAAGAAGAGACTAGTCCAGCCTTCTCGGATCCAGATCCACTTTGGGGTTCTGAGAGCTCATCTGTTGAAGAAGGCCCAAGGACAGTCCATATATTCTCACGAGACCTCCCCTTACTCTGGGGAAAAAAGCTTGAAGAAGAGCATCAGTTCAGTATCCCAGAAAGATAGGCAGCCCCTGCCATATGGTTATCCAGTCCCAGCAGGGTGGCAGGTACAGTCAGGTGCTAAAATCCTGTTGCTGCTCTAGCAGATAAACTCAGTGAACTTGAGCTCCCTGAGGCAGTTGCTAGTTTTCAAAAGGCAGAAGGAAACAAGGGGTAGCCCATGGAGACAGTGTTATCTCGGTCTTTGTCACTGTCAGGGGCCTGCCTTAGAGAGTTTAAGCACTTTGTGCATCAGCCTGCACAGACTCTCTGACTCCAAAGGCATCAAGTAGGACTTAAAATGCAGCTTGGTCTCTATCAGCCAGAACATTCCTCCTCTCTGCTTTCAGCCCAGCCTCAGGCCTTCCTAGCCAGGAAGCTTCCAAAAGCCACTTCCTCCTCCCTTGTCTCAGTTTTTACATTCATGAAGTGAGGACAGTTCATTCAATTACAAGTTGAGGCCTAATTAATAAAATTGGCAATATACTACTTCACAAGCCTCAAAACACAATGCGCTCTTTCTTCATAGCAACAAATGCCAATAGCAAAGAAAAGATTGCATGGGCTATGACACAGCCACCCAGGTGGTCCAGGCTCAAGGAGGGAAAAATGGCTTGCTCCCTGTTATAAATATCTCACATTCCAGAGTGATGTCCCTACTCAAGGTGACAGCCGAGAGCTGCAATGCTCATGGTCAGATATTTCCAGAAACTTTGCTATCTAGGACTGTTTAAGAATGCTGGTGAGTTGCATGAAACATTCCATACCCCCCTTGGGGATTTTAAAAGGCCAGAGAGAGATAAGGAAGGCTGAGTAAATGGGCCATGAGAACCCACTGCTGGGAACACCCCTTGCCAGATGGGCCCATAAATATAAAAAGCAGGCACACTGTATGCTGCTCCCCACCTTCTGCAACACTATCCACCTCCTGGAGTAAACTTCAGCAATTTTCCTAAAGAATGACCCAAGGCAGCAGAAATGGCCTGAGCACCTGGCTCTGCCCTCCAGAACTGAGCATGTTTGTTTTCCAGAGAGTTACTCTCATTCCAGACACCTGGACCCCTGACCACCAGCCTTCCCCTCCAGTTGGGGGGAAGCCCCCACTGAAAGAATAAAGATGCTTAGATAGCCACTCCCACTCCCCCGGCCTCTACTACCGAGAGGGAAAAGCCCCATGGGAAATGACATCCCAGGGAGGCCGTCTTTCCACCTGTTCCAGACTGCCCCAGACGCAGAAGGAAGTGTACACAGTAACTTCCAAAAGCACCCTTTTTCCTTGTTAGCCTAAACCAGGGGCAAACACAGACATAGGGAGATGGTTTCTGGGGAGCCTCACTTGGAGGAGGCTCACCTGGAAGGATGACATAGGGCACAAAGGGAGTCGGCCTTGCAGACATCTCCCATGCGGGGACAACAGAGGGCTCACCAAGGCCATTTGGGGGCCCCTCCCAAGCCCTAAACTTTCATGGCTTCTCCTTCCCTACCAGAAAGACTCCTATTATTCTATGGCCCCAAGACCCATCTCCATTCCAGCTAAGACTCACCTGGCCAGTGTAGCCTGCACGTGCCCAGAACTCTCCTGCCCACCTTTCATTATCCATACAGCTGCCCTACCTGGGACTCTCGCCTTCCTGAAGCTTCTTCGTCTTAGTGTCCCAGCCCTAGGTGCTTGTCCCATGCCCCGTGAATGTTACCAGTCTTTTTGCCTGTGGTGGGCTCTATCTCTACAACGACTCCGAGAGGGGGAGCCTTGCTGTGCCTCTTCCTCTCTCAATACCTGGCATGAAGCCTGGTACATGGTGGCCACCCAGTAAATGTTGGTTGAGGCCAGTACTCCCTAGAACATGGGTACAGGCTCGAAGTAATTCCAGAAAGATCTTTCACGGAACCAAACCCAAGCTAAGCGCTGGCCGCAGCTCTCTTTACTGGTGTTGTCATTGCCCTCTGGGGCCCAGGACCTGTGCCATTCTGATGATCTCGCCCCCAATCTCCAGGCCCTACGTGGACCTTGTGAACTTGCTGCTGACCTGTGGGGAGGAGGTGAGGGAGGCCGTCACCCACAGCGTCCAGGCTCAGTGTGAGCAGAACTGGGGAAGCCTGTGCTCCATCCTGAGCTTCTGCACCTCAGCCATCCAGAGGCTCCCCACGGTGCCTCCAGAGCACCAGCTCCAGGTGGACAGAGTCAAGCTCTCCAGGACCCAGCACGGGGAAGCGGGTCACCACCTCTCAGAGCCTAGCAGCAGGGAGACCGGTCGAGGTGCCAGGGGTGAGCGAGCTGGCAAGAGCCACCCGAGCGCTCCTGCCCGGAGCAGAGCCGGGGGCCACGGGGCCCATGGACCTTCTGGAAGCAGCGAGTGGGAGGATGAACAGTCCGAGTATTCTGATATCCGGAGGTGAAACGAAAGACCTGGCCATGAAATCTTTCCTCCACGCCGTCCATTTTCTTATCTATGGACATTCCAAAACATTTACCATTAAAGAGGGGGGATGTCACGCAGGATTTTGTGGGGATTGTGGACTTCATGAAGGTGTATGTTAGCAGAATGGACAGGTGAGATGGAGACTCCTGGGGCAGCGAGGTCTCGGGGGCGCCTGGTGAATTCTGCACTTACACATGCTCAAGGGAGCGTCCCCGCGTCCTCCTCCCAACTTTGTCTTCTTTCCATCTGTGGAGCCAGCGGGCGGCGGGCGGCGGTGTGCTCTGTCATGAGGTGAGATGGGGGGCAGTGTGAAGCAGGCCGTCCCCGCGTCCTCCTCCCAACTTTGTCTTCTTTCCATCTGTGGAGCCGGCGGGCGGCGGGCGGCGGTGTGCTCTGTCATGAGGTGAGATGGGGGGCAGTGTGAAGCAGGCCCACCTGGGCTGGACCACACAGTTGGTGCTGGGCCCCGCCCCGCAGCTTCTGGTGCTCTTTGTAGAGGCCAGGACAGCTGTATGGATTCCTGGGCAGGAGTGAATGTAAAAATATCGCTGGGAACATAGGAGAAGGGTGGAGAGGAGGTAGGGGGCCGATGGGGTGCTTGGTGCCAAACTGAAATTCAGTTTCCTGCATGGGACCTTGCGGTTCAGAGCTGCTTGGGGGAGGTGGGTGGGGGAGTGTCACTTCTAGGGGGAATTTCTGAGCCATTGTTCTGTCTGGGGGACACTGTCCGAGGAAGTGGCCCCTGTGTGTTTATATTTTAACCACTGCTTCAAATCTTGATTTCACCTTTTTATTGATCCATTACATCTCCATATCTGTCGCCTAAATAAATGGCTTTCAAACAAAGCAACTGGGTCATTAAAACCAGCTCAAAGGGGGAAAAATCCCAGCCCATCTTTGGAGCTGATTTTTTTTTTTTTAAGTGCAATTTAAAAAGGTATCAAACAGTGATACAGCTGCACATCTGACCACCTAACATGGGCTTGTACCCATTTGGGGCAAACCTTACACCTGGAGGAAAACACACACTTGAGGAGAACATTTGACAGATTTCTCTTAGAATTTTATCTCACCTTGACCCTCAGCCAAAATCGAGAAAGCACCGCTCAGGCGATTCCTGAAGCCAAATTGGAAACGTGGCTTCTCAGTGCTAGAGGATGGGAAAGGGGAAAAGGGAATGAAGACTACTTAGTAATTCCCATCAGGGAATGCTGACCTTTTACATAAATGGAGGATACTGCTGAAAATCTCTAAGGGATAGGGTTTTCCAGAGCCTAAATAGAAATTTAGCAATGAGGAGAGGAGTTGAGGTTGACAAAAGAAAGGCAGAGAGGAGAGACGGAACTGCAAATATGAGGAAGGGAGGGAGAGAATTATAATAGCCCAGCAGTGGATTTCTTGCAGTTTTTTAAAACAGCTCACAGATAGGCCTTTTCTTCCTAATGGGCTATCAACTTCAAGCTTATACTTTCTCGAAGCCAATACTAAATAGGAGCCAGTATTGTAAGGAGTAGACGGGTGTTCTGGGCCAGGTCCTTCCAGAGCAGAGGTCAGCAAACATGTTCTGTAAAGGGCCAGATAGTAAATACAGTATTTTCAGCTTGGGGAGGGCCATACGGTTTCTGTTGTAACTACTCAACCCTGTCGTTGTAGCACAAAATCAGCCACAGACAAATGAAAGGGCTTGGCTCCTTTCCAATAAATTTTTATTTAACAGGCCCCCAGCTGGATTTGGCTCATGGGCCCTCATCTGCTGATCCCTGTTGCAGTAAGTAAGCCAAAAACCACGTGTTCTTCTCTCTCCACTCGCTAGCTCTCCCTCGAAGCAACCTGAGGCCGGGGACAAAGAAGCCAAATCAATCTACTCAAAAATGATCTGTTCTAGTGAATGCCTTCCCCCAACACACAGCTAGTATTTATACGCTCAAGATTCAACCCCAATGTTTCAGGTCCATGTTGGAAAGAAATCATTTCAGGGGGAGAGGGGAGCAACATGCTGGGAGAGGCACCCAGAAAGATCTGGGGCTGCAGAGAGCAGAGGAATTGGTGCACTTAATCCAGCTCTGCCCTCAGAGGGAGAAGGAGTGGTGTGTCTGGCTCTGCCATGGGAACCGAACATAAACCGTGGCTGTCTCATGCCATGGGCCACTGCAGCATGTCAACTGCTTTACTGCCACCACTCAGAAGCTAAAGCAATAACATTCTCCTGCATTGCTGGGTCAGCTGTTCATTTGTTCGCCAGCTCCTGGCCTGGATGTGTGAAAGGCATCACTTTTATATTTTTCTCGGTGTAAATGTTTTCTGTGTTCTCCTACTGATGTCCCATTTGTTGCTTCTATTGTAAATATTTGTCATGTGTATTTATTATCTCAGTGTTTTACCCCAAGGCATAAAATTGCTGACTATGTTCATTTGAACCTATTTACTGATCTCTGTTGTGTATTTTTCATGCCACTGCTATGTTTTTGTTGTTTGTTTGTTTTTGTCAAAAGCCAAGTAGATATAACTTCATCCTGGCTCCTAATGTTATTGGAAGCATATAACAGTATTTAAATTGCTCAGGTTCTTCTGCTCAAAACTGAGGAAAATCCAAATTTCTGTAAACATTGATGGAGGCATTTGCACAATCTAAATTGTAAGCAAAGTAGTCATTAAAAATAGACCCTTTACTTGGGCTTCATACTTCAGACAAATTTACTTATGAGCCTTCCTTTGAGGAAGGATGTAGGTCTCCAAATAAAGATATGTTGTTTATTTTGAGCTTTGCATCTTAACAAGATGATCCAAACACCTCTCCTTTGTATCAATAAATAGCTCTGTTATTCTGAAATGAGAGGACTGAGGATAGTAAAATGCTGACACCTAAAACTAAATAAACATAAAACACCAGCCGAGAACTGTAGTCATACTTTGCCACACACACACAAAGGGAGAAATTCAAACTCGAACCAAGTAAAAGGCTGTGAACATGCAATTAGAGGCTTCTTCACTAATCTCACCCCACTGCCAGCCCTGTCTGAGAAGCCAGGCACCCCTGAACTCTTCACCACCCTCATCATCATTATCATGGGGACAGTTACAGATTCTTGGGGATCATTATGTACGCTGCGTTTTGGCTGGGACTTTACATGTGTTATTTCTGGACCCCATTTTACAGATGAAAAAACTGAGGCTCAAAGACATCTCAGTATCCCTAGAGCCAGTCGTGAAGCTAGGGAGCTCCAGAGGTGGCATGTAAACTCAGCCCAGGGCTCACTCTGCTCCGTCTCACTCGCCTTCTCGCCCCCCAGGTGTGAACACATGGGTTAAATGCACCCAAGTGAGTTCAGAGACACAGCTGCCTTCCCGGCCCTAACCCTCAGGATTGCTCCAATCCAACAGTTCTGGAATTATTAGGCTGTGGGAGGAAGGAGGCAGAAGGGCTTCCAAATATGCTGGTATTTAAGCAAAGTTTCCAAAGGAAGCTGGAGCTGTGCACCCCAAAATCTGGAGACAAAACTGAATTTGTCCTAAAGTCAACAAAAAAGAAAGCCCCCTGCTGAGGCCAGAGAACAGGTTTTATGCGAATTATTTTTTTGTAGGCGGAGAGGAGAAGAAAAGTGCAATAGAAGCCTTGGGCTCAGCGTCACGAGTTGCTGCTTGCATAAGCAGTTTGGTTTTTATCACTCCCCAAAAGAACAAAAAAAAAAAGTCACTCCCCCATAGAGAACAGGGAAAAAAAAGTTACAAAGCCAACCTAAGCTTATGCTTGAAATGGACTCTACCAAGATGATCCTGCCATTTGACAGAACCCAAACCTCATGGCACCGTAGAATCTGCAGCCACCTAGTCACCATTTCACATCAGGTCTGCCTGGACAAGCTAATGCTTGGAAGAAACAAGAAAACCTCCTCCAAGGAATTCTCAGAGGCAGGGCCTTTGTTCACAAGGTGCTGAAGAGAATCAGCTGGTTCCATTTTTCATTAGATGGTTTCCAGGAATTTTTATGGTTCTTAAGGAGGAATTCCCATGTAAAATAAAAAAAATAATAATAAAATAAAATGTGGCATGCTAAAAAGAATGGTCACCATCTGCTTACCTTTTGAGTTATGAATAATACTCTGCAAAGGACTGAGGGCTCCAAAGAGGGCTTTGTTCAGAAACAAAGATCAGTCCCTAGAATTCAGTCCCTAATGTTTATTGCTATGTAACAAAGCTACCCCCAAAGCTTAACAGATATAAAATAACTGCTTTATCTTGCTCATAATTTTGTGGGTCAAAAATTTGGAAAGGGCTCAGCTTGGTGGTTAGATTCTTCAGACAGTGTTGGCTGTGACAACCAGGACTGGAGGACACACTTCCAAGATGGCTTCTTCCAGATGGTGCCTTAGTGCTCTGGCCTCTCTCTCTCTCTCTCTCTCTCCACGTGGCATTCCATCCCCCAAGGCCTCAGAGCATGGCTGTCTCAGGGTAGTCTTGCTTCTTCCACAGTGACTGGCTTCCCCCAAGGCAGGTTGGAGGATTTTATACCATATTTTTCAAATCTAAGCTAGGGTCTGGTACTGTGACCATCCCCACTTTTTCACAGTTATATGTATCCCCAGCAGCCCTGCGATTACACGGTGTGAATGAATAAATGAATGAATGAGACCTCTTGTCTAAAAGGGTGCCAAATATCAAATTAGATAAGTTTCAATTCACTTTAAATTCTAAATCAGGGCTGGCCAGTTTGCTCAGTTGGTTAGAGCTCTGCCTTGTAACACCAAGGTCAAGGGTTCCACCAGCTGCAAAAAAAAAAAAAATAATATTTTCTAAAGCAAATATATTCTTGTGTATTCATAAGAGGCATCAACATGACACCAATCAATGAGACGGTGTCAAAAATAAAAATCACTATAAAAATCGCTGGGAAACCTGTGATTTTGGAATCAGGAGAAATAGAGAGGAGTACTAATCCAGTCACTTTGAGGATATGATAGAAATTTAAACAACTTAAAAACGAAATTAGGACTGGCACTGAGGCCTTGGCAAATTAGTTAAATTTTCTAAGCCTGTTTTCTTAGCTACAAAATCAGGAAACTAAAGCTACTCTGCTTTCCTCACAGGGGAGTTGTGAGGATAAAATGACTTACGCTATACAAAAAGTCACAATACGTAGGAAATGCTTTGAAGACTGAAAAATTCCACGTGAATGATGTTAGTATTTCTCCTGGCCATTTCGGAAGGCTTTGGCCTAAAGCCAAGAGCACAGATGGATGAGCTGTCCCATCCGTCCCACTCTGTCCCATTGATTCCC